ACTCTCTATTCTCTTGTTCTTATCCTTTCCTTTGACATCTGAATTGTCATTTATATTCTGCCTATTATTACAATTATTTTTGTAATATCATCCATTGCCTCACCCACTAGATTTTAAGCTCATTAAGGGCAGAGTCTATGTTATATTTCATCTCAGTATCCTTGAGGCATTTAATCTATAGTTGTTGAATTGAATTGAATTGAATTTATCCTCTGTTTATAAATGTGTTCTGATCTGTCTCAATTATGCTTTAATTTTCTTTTAAAACCCTCATATTTGGAGCAGATAGGTGGCATAGTGGATAGAGCTCTGGCTTTGGAGTCAAGAAGACCTGAGTTCAAATCCAGCTTCAGATACTTGACACTTACTAGCTGTGTGACCCTGGGCAAGTCACTTAACCCTGATTGCCTCACCAAAAAGCAAAAAAAGAAAAAAAAATCAAGTTAAAGAAAAAAAAAAGGCAGCTAGATGGCACAGTGGATAAAGTACCAGCCCTGGAGTCACAGGGACCTGAATTCAAATGTAGCCTTAGACACTTAGACACTGTGACCCTGAGCAAGCCACTTAAACCCAATTGCCTAAAAAACAAACAGAAAACAATAAACAAACAAAAAAAACCCTCACATTTATTTGATCTTGCTAACTCCTCAAGCTATAAAGTTCTATCCTTCTTTCCTTTCACTATCAAATTTCTTAAAAGAGTAATCTATACTCAACGACTGTTTCTTCTTCATTTATATCATTCCTCAACACTCAACAAACTAGTTTCTGCTACTCTATGGAAACCTTTTCTTTAATGTTGTTGTTGAACTAATTATCAAATCCAATAACTGTTTTTCAGTTCTCATTTTCCTTGAACGCTATGCATCATTTGATACTGTTGACTATTCCCACCCTTTCCTCAAAAGTCTCACTTCCTTATTTCCCTTACATTTCTTCCATGGTGTTTTTCCCCCCTCTTTTTCTTTGATGGTTCCTCTTCTTCTCCTGTCCCCTATATGGTAGCATCTACCAAAATCCTGACCTCAACTTCCTTTTTCTTCTCTACAACCTCTTTGTGGTGTAGAATCCCCTCTCAACATATTATCTGTCACCTTTATTCAGATAAGTCTTAAATCTATTTATCTCTATCCCTGACCTCTCTTGGGTGCTCATTTCAAATTTCTACCAAGATATTCTGCTGACTCTTCAACATGTCCAAAATTGAACTAACATCTTTCCCCCCCAAACAGCTCCTCAACAACTTTCTTATTTCTGTTCATGACACCTGTCATGTTCTCAATCACTACTACTCCCAAAATGTGACCTCCTTCTTCCCATCAACCCCTACAGCACTTTATTTGTTATGGCACTTGTTAAGCTCTACCTTATATTGTAATTATTTATGTCTATTTTATCTCCCTATTAGACTGAAACCTCCTTGAGGACAGGAACTGTTTCTTATTCCTAATTTTTGTCCCTACAGACTTGGTAAGCCTCAGACTTGCCAACCCCAAAAAGCCTGAGAATTTAATCTAGTATCCAAACAAGGCAGGAGTGTGGTTATGATAACTCTGAAGAAAAATTCCAAGCTTAATTGGTGAATACTGAGAACTAAGAAAACTCAACCACTATCTCCATTACATTTTCATTGAAAACCAGGGCTATCTAAATTGTAGAAGTTTTTAAGACACTGTTTAGCTTTCCCATTTTGTTTTTTATTTTAAATTCCAATAATTGGGATGTTTCCTTGTAATGGCACAAATAAAAATCTTACCAAAACTCTAAAAGAAGATTACGTGCTTAATTCAGAGACAGTGGAACAGAGAAGTTAGAAACTTGAGTCCCTCTGCACAGAAGATCTATGTTAAAGGACCCCAGATAGAAGGCAGAATGGTGGAATTGTTACCAAGAGGAGGAAAAAAAGTGGGATCAGAAATCTCTTTTGGGATGTTAATACTGGAAGACCCTCTCCTCCATCCCCACCTTTATCCCATTCCTACTGCAAGACCATAGCTCTAATCTTCTATCCTGGTAGAAGATAAGAAAATAATTGAAAGATGAAGTTTTTATTGTTGTCGTTTCAACTTATTGAAGGTCCAGAAATTGGTTTACTACTGGCTAGGGTTTGGAAATGCCAATTAGATAAGTCTTCATAAAAAAAGTTAGCATCAGACTAACTTCATTCCTTTAACAAATGAGTTTAATCTAATGATGAGGAATCTGTTTGGCTGTGTAACATCTCCTCAATTGAAGTTTCTGAGTTTTTGTTGTTGTTTTTTTACCTCCTGCATTGTGCTGATGATACTCAATCAGTTCTGGTATTGATGGGAAAAGGTATCTTTCACTCACATAGCACTGCCCTGAGTCATGGCTTTTAATCTGATAATGCTTGATGGGTACCTCATCATTCCTGTGACCAAAGAAGAAACAGTCATATAAATAAAATCACTATACTATTCCACCATCACAACATTCCACAATATTCCACCATCACAATACTATTCTACCTTAAAAATTCATATATCATCATTGCACACTAACCAGCCGATTAAAATAAACACATTCTTTAGGCTTAGAGGGAGTGTGATCATTGTGGACAGTAAATCTGGTCTGAGCCAGGAAAAAAAATGGGTTCAAGTTCTGCTTTTCATATATACTGACTGTATGACTATGGGTAAATCAAGGGCCCCAGACAACTTTCTAAGACTACAAGTTGCGGAGAAGGTTTTGATATACGTTGGTGGAGGGAATTTCCTCATGGGGGTGTTTGTTCCCTACAGCAGTGGTTCCCATTTAGTAGTTTGTGAAACACTTTGGGATGATCTAAAAATTCTCTAATGGTGCCTTAAACAATTGCCTAATTATGTTACCAATATATTCTTCCTTTGTGACAAGCATGTGCATGTTTGAAGCATTATAAGTTTGTATCTGCAGCAATTTAAAACCATTATGATCATGTGCAAAATGATTTTTTGTGGTTGTATAGCTTGATATCACACCAAACTCTGCTTCTGTTCTTGTAGTTTCTCAACCTGTCATAAAATTGTTTTCAAACTGTGCTAGAGATTCAACATTTGATCACACACTGACACATTAAAAAAGATTAAAACATTGCCATGTGCATAGCAGAACATAAAAGAGGATTCAAAACATAAAACAATAAATTTCCATTTCAAGAAGGTCTATATGATAAATACTACACAGTGCTCAAAGTTGTCCATTTTTACTTCTTTGTACGTTTTATTTTGTTCTCTGCTGTGCACTTATTACTTTGTTCTTTTTTCCCCCCTTCCTCTTCCCCACCCCTCCCCCACCCCCAAGAAGGCTACAATTAAGCATGGAGATAAATACACACACACACACACACATACACATATACACACAAACATATAGACATACATACATATAGACATATACTTACATACACATACCTGGATATCTATAATCATACACATATATACACATATACATTCGTGTGTCTATGTAGGACCGTGCTATAATTGTGCTATGTTTTTGTGAACAATATCTTCCTTCATAAATCCAAGTCTTTCCATATTTTTCTAAATTCACCAACTCATCATTTCCTGTACCACTGCAACATTCCAACTTTATACTGTCTAGTTCTTTTAAATAATCTAAAACAATATTGATTAATATGGCTGATATATAGTGTAGTTTCCCTATTTTCCTCTTTTGATTAAATCTATTTTAGCTTTAACTCTGAGATCATGATTACTACCCCTGCTTTTTTTCCCTAATACATTCTGTTCCTGATCTTTATTTTGTTTGTGTGCTTTGTAAGTTTTAACCCCACCACTAGCACATACCAATAACAGTTCTTCCCAAAGCATTCTAGGCTTATAGCTACTGACCTTCTCATTCTTGAGTACACAGAGATGGTGTAAGCTCCCAAACGTCTGGAATCTCTGACTATAAACGCACCTTCTTTGGACTGCAAAGCAATTCATTTAACATAAAGGTTTATTTTTTTTTTTATCGGCATAAAGACAAATTGACAAAGGAACCAAGAGAGTTGTGTCAAAGGCAGAATGTTCATCCAAAGAGTGCAGTCTCATTACATCAGAGGAACAGCTCATGCAAAATGTTGCAGAGGTTTCTGGTTTCTGGTTCAGGAGCATTTAAAACACAAAAGTAACAAGTATGAAATGAAGTAGCAAAGTTAACCTATGAACTGAGAGAACACAGCCTAGCCTAGTTCAGTGGTTCTCAAGCATTTGTTATAGTTCTTTAGCTTTAGGCACTGAATTGTTGCTGTAATGAATAATAGCACAATAAGCAATGAAGTTTGCAGCAAGGCAGGATCCCAGACTTCCAGACCTATTCTCTAGGTCTGGGGATAGTTCCATCTTTCCTCCGCCTCATCTTTCTTTAGTTTCCCAGGGACCCACAGTAGAGAAGGTGGCTTTGTCCTCCTCACATTGGTGCTACTGTGACCTTCCTCAAGAAAAACAGAGAAAAGCAGGCGGAGAAACTGGAGCTGAGGGAAGAGCTCAGGGAATGTGGCAGTCTGAAGGATAAAGAGGAAGAACACAGTGGGGCAGATGAGATGGCACTTAAACAGATAAAAGGTTGCAATCACTTTGGAATGTGATCCCCTTCCTGGAAGGATTATTTCATTTGTTGTCTTTGTATTTCCATCTCTTAGCACCATACCTTACATATAGTAGCTACTTAATAAATGCTAATTGATTGACTGATTGAATGCAGTTCAGACGGGTGTTTGAGTTTTGAGGGGATTGAGTTGCAAGCACAAACAGAGGTGAATTTATGGTGGAAATCATAGTATATAGTTTCTAATTTGTAGTTCTAAATGGGTATGTGGAGGACTAAATTTCTGGGCACACCCAGTGATAAGTGCTACCTAGCAACATGCCCTTTGGAATCCACTGGCCTAGACACTGAGCTAGTACAGCTAAAGCAATGAGTTTCAGAAACACTGAATTCTCCTTATATCACTTCCCTAACACATTGATAAGCCAACTCTAACAAGCTGTCTCATCTTCTAACGGTGATCTAATAGTGTGAGGTGGCCTGGGAGGTGGAGAATGGAGGCTAAAACAGTTCCTTCCACTCCTTTTTCTCTCAACTACCTTCTCACTCATAGCCTTCATTTTGGTCTTTCTCTCCCTCTTTTCTTTCTGCTTGAAGAAGCAAAATACAAAGTGTCCCACATGTATGTTTCTTGTTTATCTCATCTTATTTAAAGGTGGAATTTCTTTATTGTTTTTCCACATGTACAGTGCCCAGTATCCACTCAGTTTCTTCATCAATGCCTCATGGTAATTACCTATGGAGGTTACCCTGGGGTCTCAAAGGATATACCAGTGGAGCACAAGTCCTACCAAACTAGAAAGCTTGCAAGTATGACGATAGTGATGGATTGTATGTCTTTATGAAGACCAGCCTCATGAACTCAGAGGTGCCTTAAAAGGTTGGCTGCAGAATGAAGATTTTTATTGCCACACCAAATCTAGAAGATAATCACCTAGTCTATAGAGAGTTGCAATTTTCATAAGTAGAGGGACTGCCCATACAAGGTCCTTTAAATATTTAAGTGCAATATCTACTACATTAGAGAAGTCCAACAAATAAATAATTAAAAGTCAAGTATAATAACTACCTGGGGGATCACTGTTACATTCACTTGTATATTTGCCAAAGGTGATGCTATTGTCAACTTTCTAATAAAATAGAGGTAGTCTTGTGAAGGTTTCTTAAGTTGCAAGTCACCTTCTCCCAGAGAACTCTAGGAGTTCAGGGTCTAGAATGTCACAGAGCGTATGGTGGGATGAACTATTATAACTGAGTGTTCTTACTGAGATCTAAGAAGCTGTCATTGAACCCTCACAAGTGTTTTAAAGATGTAGCAGTACTAGAAGATTATGGGATTATGATGAAGAAAAGGAGGAAGATAATACCTTAATCTGTACTTTCCCCCCAACTTTTCCAACTTCTCTCATATCTCAATTTATCTTCATAACAATCTTGTGAACTGGGTAATCAGAAGGGGAAGGATCCTTATTCCCTTGTGCTGATCTTCCCTTTACTTTTCTTCCTTTCTAGGAGGACTATTTCAGACTCAGAAAACAGAGTAAGGCATTGTGTCCCTGCCAGTGTATTGGAACCTGACACTTTGATATATTGCAAAAGCTACATTAGTGTATTTTGATCACGTAGATTTTCTCATTCCTTTTTTGTCACTTTATGACTGAGAGGATAGAGTGTAGAGTATGTGGTAATGGGGGTAGAGAGAAGAGAAAAGGTAGTGTGTGTATGTTTATACGTGTGTGCAGGTTTGTGCATGTATGCATGCATGCATACATTATTTATAATGCCATAACAGATGGTGAAACAAGGATAGAAAATGTAAATAGTAGGGAAAGGGTGATGCTCTCTATTGCATCTTGGTCTGCACTTGCAAGTTCGCAATCTTTAAAAAAAAGACTAGGAAACACTGCATTGGAGGAATGGACTGAACTGAGCCATGAACTGAAGGATGGTAGTCAACTGCAGGGATCCCTTTAAGTTATTAGCATGTGATGTCTAATGGACCATTGAGAAAACCTATTCTTAGCTTCCATTTCCTAAGTATCTTCATCTCAGCCCTATAGGAATTATTTTGAGAGCTCCTCCTTTTTAATGTCCTTTGTCTATTGCTGGCCCTCCTGTTCTTTCTGCTCTCAGCAATCATTGCAGCCTTAAAATGTTTTCTTTTTTTATGGATATAATCACAATAAAGCAGAATCTGTATGGACTTCCTGTTTAAGGTTAAGACTTTTAAACAGTTTTCTTCCACTGTTGGGTTGGGAGGTGAAGGTGGAGAGTTGTGTTCAAGACTTAACAGGGTGATGGTTTGAAACTCATTAGCTGAGTAGATAAAACAAGAGCCAAGAATCAGAAGATGTTTTTAGCTATAATTTCATAGAATTTGAGTTTGAGGGACCTTGATGATCCATTGCATGATGATTATTTGCTCTAGTTTCTTTAATGGAAACTTTAATAATAGAATTTTCCATTTGCATAACTTTCATGGATGATAATGAAGCAAAGAGCTATGCAAATAATTTATGTTCCACCCACAGTCTATTTGTTGGTTACAAGGTAGTTCAGTATTTCTGTCTATCTGTTTTTCTCTTAGCAGATATAAAGTTCAACCTTGCTTTGCCATATTTGTTGACTACGGGATCATTTTTGTACATTTAAGCAATGATCATTGGGTCCAACTTAAAGGCTATCACAAGTATCCGGTGGGTCTGCTATTTCTGCTTCTCTGCTGGCTGAAAAAATAAAACATTGATTTTGTATATTTGATTCCATTTTGTAATTGATTCTATTTTGTAGTTACTTAAGCCATGTTCTTTGTCTCTGAGCTAAGTTCAGAAGTTCATGAGTCTAGAGGTTGTTTTCCATCTGTGAATTAGTTTAGTTCAGTTGTCCCACAAATCACCGTAACTAAAAGAAATACATTATCTCTATACATCGTTGCATACCCATGTACAATTAAGGGAGACCTGTTACCATACTAACAAGTCTTACAGAATGCAGGTGGGCACCAAGAAGTCTGTTATCTTTGCTCAACTAACAAGCAGATGGACTCTATCCATCAACTTTTCCTGAGAACAGGATGGAAGGAGGGGTTGTTGCTAGCCTGAAATGTCCAGCCAATCATATTTTTTCTTCCACCTATGATACTTCAGATTTTGTAACCAGTCATTCTATTTTCCATCTGCAATATTGCCTGTTCTTTGTTCTCTTGTATTTCCCAAAACTGTATGAAGGCTAGTAAGCCCTACCTTGTGGTCTTTTTGGCTAACAAAGGAGTTGAGAGATCCCTTTTATTTGTAATTGTTAGTCTTATCAATAAATTGAACATGCTTGGAACTTTGTGCCTTAGTTTATCTTAATTTTTAAATCTAACTTGGCTGAGTCAAAGTCATTTAATTTAAACAAGATTTTTATATAATTAGGAGTCAGTGCTTTTCATTAAGACTTCAGTTAGCATCAGTTAACATCTGTATTTTAAATTATAGTTAATAAACAACATGAGACCCTTACCATTCTCCTGTTAAGAATAACACCACTGGCACTCTACAGTGAGCATTTGATAAATGAATGAATTGATGTCACTCACTCTCCAACTGCTTCTTCAAGGCCAAAGCAAATTATTAGATATTAATCCCATTAAATCAGTAAACACTTCCCAAAACACAGGAAATAACAATGGTCTGAATTTTAATGCATCGACTTTCAATGAGTCGTGGTAAAGATCATGTGGTTTGTTTGTCCATTTGGCCAAGTTTTGCATGTGGAAGAATTAAGTCAATAGAATTAATGTATTTTAAAACTCAGAATGCTCCTTGACATGAGTGTTTAATTGAATTCTTCTCTATTATTTTCAAAAATGTATTTAGCACTTGCTCTGTTTAAGACACTAAGTTAGGTGCTGGAAATACAAAGATAAATATAGCATAGACCCTGTTCTGAAGGAGTTTGCAATCTAATGAAGAAAGAAAGGAAGGAAGGAAAGAAAAAAACAAAGAGAGAGAGAAAGAAAGAGAGAGAAGGGAGGAAGGGGAAGGAAGGAAGAAAAGAAGGAAGGAGGGAAGGAAACTGGGTTGAAAATTATTTCTATGGGAACAGAACTCTGATATGATGCAAGTCATTATTTGATGAAAAACATTATTTGATATAAAAATATTTGCTTGCAACTTTTCATAAATATTCATATAAAGTGAAGTGAAGTTGGACTGAGAGAAACAAAGAAAAGAAGCAACAAATGGGTCTTTTTGATAAGTAAAAATGCTTACAATAGATTCTTGGAGACTTTTTTTGCTATCCACAGATTCAATCACAAATATGTCGACTTACCTCTTGTCTCAATAGATCTTCTGCCTGATTCCTAGTGACGTTTTTATGATACCACCTATAATTTTATGAAATATCAGTTACCATTCTAATGTCATGCATGCTTTATTAGAAAAAACCCCCACTTTCCCCTTTAGTTTAAAGGACTGCCTTTCATGACTTTATTCAGAAGTTCATTCATTCATTCTGTTTTATGCTTAGATTAGCTTTATTATAAACACTGGACAGCCATATGTAAAACAAGTACACAGCTTGCTCTTTTATATCTTCCAATTCAACTTTCCGAGACACAGGAGATTTGTTTAAAAGTTTAAATGATATAATAGAGTACAAGAAGCTGTTACCTTAGGCAAATATTCTCTTATGTTCAGTCTAAGCTAAAGCGAAACATTCCAGTTTTCCTTCCCTGCCCTCAAAAGCTGCTTAAGAACACCTTTGTATGCTCTCTGTTAAGCTCTCTGAAATAACACCCCTTCTAAACTTACCCTAAGACTCAATACAGCAAACTTTGAAAAACAGCCTTAGACTTCAAAAGAAAGTCTAAATAAATTGTGCCTTTTTGTGACTGTATCCTTGAGAAAACATCCTAAGGCATGACAATTATCATAAGCGCAAAGGACAGACAAGTGGACAAAAAAGAAAACAATCTTCCTCATGAGCACGTCAGACAACATCACTGACTCCCTGCTTAAAACCTTCAGTGGCTCCCCATTACCTACTCAAAAAATAATGTAGATTTCCTAGTCTCCCATTCAAGAGCCTTCACATTCTGGCACCAATAAAATTTTTCTCACTTTAAAAAAAATATACTATTCTCTTTGCATTTATGAAGTCCCTATTTGATGTAAATTTGAAGAGCAGGTGCTAACTTTTCGTCAGTAGGATGTCTCTTCATCTGGGAGTTTCCTATACCAGTTAAACGACAGGTACTGTCCCTCTTCCTTTCCCTATGTGCAATGTGCTATGTGTGCTCTATAATGGGGGTAATTAAAAACAGCAGACAATGCACAGTCCCTTATCTCAAGAACACTCTTCAAACCTCACAAACTGATAAGTGCTGTCTCTTGAGTAGGCTGAGGCCCGTTTTTAATACTGTGAATGAAATAGCTATGATGCTTGGGGACTTAAGTTTCAACATAATTGCAGCAATTCTATAGTACTATGTCTCCACTAATTCTATAGTACTATGTCTCCATAATTCTATAGTACTATGTCTCTGAGGACTCATCGAGGCAGGGAGGTAGTCCAGGGCTCTGAAAGATGAGAGGAGAGCACAAACAGTGGCAAGCCCTCCTGAGCTGGAAAGGCTCCAAGCGTGGAGCTGGGGACAGCCTGTCACGCATGGTCTGCAGACTCATTACCAAGAGGTCAGCCACAGCAACGTGTGCAAACATCTACTACTATAGGCGAAGGAGCTGTGATTCGCATCAGAGGTGTGAATAATTACACTGAGGAAATAATGGATTTTGTCAAGAACTGAAGTATGATGTCATTCTGTGCTGGGCAGATTCCAATTATTAGTATATCTGAAGAAAAGGAGAATATTTTTTTAAAAGAATTCAGAGAAATACTCATGGAAAATGGCATGAAAAAAAAAAAAGAAAATGGCATGACTATTTTATCAATTACTCCCTGACAATGAAATTCAAAGTTAGTGGACTAAGTTAGGATTATATAATATGCATATATTCTAACAGCTAATGACCTATGCTAAACTCTACCCTTAGCTCAGTTCTAGAACAGGGAATAATAATAATTCACATCCTTATATGGCACTTTGAAGTTTGCAAAGTGGTTTACAAATATTATCTCATTTAATCTTCACAACACCAGTCCTGTTATTGGTTGCTATTATTGTCCTCATTTTACAGAGAAGGAAACTGAGGCAAATAGAAGGAAAGTGATTAGCACAGTGCCTGGCATACAGTAGGTGTCTAATAAATGTTTATTGATTGATTGATTGATTGATTTCCCAGTGTCACACAGCTAGTAAGTGTCTGAAGCCAGATTTGAATTCAGGTATTCTTAACTCCAGCAGCTAGATGGCTCAGCAGATAGAGTTTTACATCTAGAGTCAAGAAGACCTGAGTTCAAATATGGCCTCACACACTTACTGTCTGACCCTGGGCAAGTCTGTTTAACTTCTGTTTGCCTTAATCCACTGGAGAAGGAAATGGCACACCATTCCAGTATCTTTGTCAAGAAAATTCCATGGCCAGGATTGGCACTCTATGGTACATGGGATTAACAAAGAGTCAGATAAAACTGAACAACAATTCCTGACTCCAGGTCCAGTACTCTGTCCACTGTGCCACCCAGTAACCTAATTATTTCATTTCATCCTCACAAAAACCCTATGAGGTAGTACTGTCATGGTCTTCCTTTTACAGATGAGGAAATTGAGAGTCAGAAAAGTTCAGTAATTTGCCTAGGGTCACACAGCTAGTAAGTGAGGCAGAATTTGAACACAGATCTTTTTTGTGTAAATGTTTCATAAATTCTCTCTCTCTCTCTCTCTCTCGCCCTCTCTCTCTCTTGCTCTCTCTCTCTCTCAAATCACTTTCCAATTGAGAATTTCCACTTCCCAATGTCTCCGAAGAACTTATAACAAAGAAGTGCAGTTCAACCACACAAATCAATACATTGGCCATGTCAGAAAATCCATGCCTGGGGGCAGCTAGGTGGTGCAGTGGATAGAGCACTGGCCCTGAAGTCAGGAGGACCTGAATTCAAATCTGGCCTCAGACCAAACACTTGACATGTACTAGCTGTGTGACCCTGGGCAAGTCACTTAACCCCAATTGCCTAAAAAAAAAAAAACATACCTCATTCTACACCTACATTTTCTATTAACCTCTCAGACAAGAATCAGAAAATGTTCTTCATCATCTGTTTTCTAAAGCCATAGTTGATCACTGCATCGATCAGAGTTCTGAGGTCTTTCAGTGCTATTTTCCTGAACATTATTGTGATCAATCACGTTAATTCTGACTACTCTATCCATGATGCCACACAGCCTCTCACACATTCATATGGCACTTGACAGTTACAATAAAGACTCCTAAGTCTCTCCCACCTACCAAAGTTCTACATGTATGCCTCATGGCAAAATGAGCTTAGACTAGAATCAGGGATTCTTAACATGGAATCCGTGAACTTGGTTTTCAAAAATATTTTGATGACTATATTTCACTGTAATTGCTTTCTTTTGTAATGCTATATAGTTTATTTCATGAATTTAGTAGCGTCATTTTGAGAAGGGGTTCATAGGGCTGCCAAAGGGGTACATAGCACAAATATGTCAAGAATCTCTAGTCTAGATCTCTAAGGCCCCTTTAAGCTCTAAAATGGTATGAGTTTATGAAAACAGGTAAATAATACGGACTCTGATTTATGGATTTGCTTAATTCCTCCATGCTACAGAAATGTCTTGGTTTGGCTTTACCTAAAAAAATACACTTTCCACTGGGAATTAAACTTTGTCCAATTTACCATTAATTGAAATGTTCCACATTCCATTTTTAAATGTACTTTGCCTAAGGTTTTCTTTATCCTATTCATTATTTCAGTCGTTAAAAAGAACTTTAAAATTTGCAAAGCCTTAGGTTCCATTTTTATGGTAAATTTAATGTTAGGGCAAATGGCAAATTAAGATGAAGATTTTTTTTTTAAAAAAAGTGATCGCCACTAAAAGCCCATATTTAAAAAAAAAAACCCCAACAACCCTGAAAATCACATTTCTAATTCAACTCTGGGAAAGATCTCTGATAAGGAATTCTCTTGATTACTAAAATTGTTCAAGGTGTTACTTCCTTCCTCAAAAACAAAAGCCTCAAATAATTCTTCTACATATAACTACTGAACTTTATTCAGGTTTTATGAATAGATAACAAATTGTATTCTAAGAGAGCACTTACTCATATATTTCTAAGTTGGTTAGCTTGTATTCTGTCACATAGTTGCTAGGGATTAATCCTTCTTTCCTAAAACAAAAACCACAAAAGGTAATGTTTGTGTGAATGTGCATTTCTATTAACAAAATTATTATAACTATTAACAAAATAATCACATCATTTAGAATTAGAAGAAACCTTAGAGATTATTTAGTCCAATTCTTTCCCTTTACAGATAAGAAAACTGAGATCCTGAGAGATAAAATATCTTGTCTCAGGTCACATAGATAGTAAGTACCTGAGCTGGGATTTGAACCCAGGCTCTTTAATTCCAAATCAGTCCACTTCCACTCCCTCCATGCTACCTGTCATATTCATATGGCATTAGGTAATTATGCTCTTCACCTTGTTATGGGTATGGAGGTGACCCCAAGTTCTTAAAAGCAATAATAATAATAATAATCCATATTCATATATGTATATATACATATGCATACATACATACACACATATATATCACTTTAAGATTTGTGGCACCTAGGTGGCACAGTGAATGGAGTGACAGACTTGGAATCAGGAAGACCTGAGTTCAAATTTTGCCTCAGATGTTTTACCAGCTTTGTGACCCTGAGCAAAGCACTTAACCTCTTTTTGCCTCAGTTTCCTCATCTGTAAAATGGGAATAATAACAGCACCTATCTCCCAGGGTTGCTATAAGAATAAAATGAGATAATAATTGTAAAGCACTTTGTAAAACTTAGGTACATAAATGTTATTGTTGTTGCAAAGCAATGTTATTATTACCAAGTTTTGTCTCATTCAATTCTTGCAACGATTCTATGTGATAGGTAAGATTGTTGTCCCCATTTTACAGATAAGGAAACGGTTAAGTGACTTTTCCAGAGTCATGCTGTTATTAAGCTGAGGTAGGATTCAAACTCAGGTCTTCCTGACTCAACTAGCTGCTCTCAGTTCTTCTAGGATCTATACCAAGCTGGTATGGAAATAGTAACAAATTTGGAGTCAGAAGGCTTGGAATGGAATTCTTTCTCTGTTACTTAATATCCGTGTGACTTTGGGAAAATCACCTCCCAGAGCCTCAGTTTCACCATCTGTAAAAGGACAGGAATCAACTAGATGATCTCCAAGTTCCCTTCCAGGTTGAAATTTTATTAAAAAATCAATACCAATCCATTAACAAGCATTTATTAAGGCCCTAGATGCCTATAATATAAGGATCCTATAATATTAAGGCTGAAGACCCAAGGAAAAATCTCACTTACTTAACAGTTTTGGATAGGCTTGCAGGCCTATTCACATCTTTCTGATAGTGTCACTGTGCAACCCATTTAAGCCTACAAGAAGTTTGACAAATAAAGCTCCTGGGGCTATTCTCTATGAGGAGTGAGGGCTTAGAAGGTCTACTCTTAATCAGAGCTGCACTCATTTGCCTTCTTCAGACTTGGGACACTCTTCAAGATGTTTCAGGCTAGATTCCTTGAAGTCTTCTCCCAAGCACATCCACAGGCAGAGCATGGCATGACTTCGCTGGTTAAACACATCCTCATCTAGAAGTTTCAGATGAGGGAGATGATAATAATAGGTATTCTACAAATTTCTCAGAAGGTGGTTGACCTAGTTTAGGGCTAAAAGATAGACTGGGAAAGGCCATCTGTTTTTAGGTGCTGTATAAAGCTAATTAGGGTCTTCTGTCTGTATCATCGTTTTTTTTAAGTACAAAAGAAGAAATAGGTTTGAAACAAGCTGCTTGTCTTACCCTGTTTGGTCTCTGGCCTTCCACCAATGAGGATTGTATTTCTCCAGGATCAGGTACTCTTCTGCTCTCTTTAATGCTAAATTACAGGATTCCCTGGGAAGGAAGTCGTAGAGAGCCATAACTCGAATCTTCTCCCCATGATCTTCCACTTGTGGGAGGGGTGGCAGTGGTTTTCTTTGGGATGGCTGAACACATGCCCTGTTGGACTGTAGAAATAAAACCAAAGGAATGATATTTGTGTATATTTCATCATTTGATCTCTGATTTTGTTAGAAACAGAAGTTGCTGTTGTAGGGACTCCTTCCACCAATCATAGATGTAGCATCCACCCCACCCCCCCAATGATTTAGTAGGGAACTTGGAGACATATAGAAGTGAAATGCCAAGAATCACACTGAGAGATCATCAACAGGTAAGATTTGACCTCAGGTCTTCCTGACTCCAAGCCCAGCATTCTAGCCCTTATACCCAGGCTGCCATGTTATAACTTTAGTGATGGCTATTATTATATATCCTTCTTTATAAGTTTGGCCTCTGAGGTCTCCCTGCCTCTCTAGAGCTATGGTCCTAACATCCAGATGAACATGATCAGAAGCCATATAAGAGACATGGCTAAATTTTTCAATAGAAGGAGTTTCCTTATCCGGCAGATCTCTACCAGTGCCATCACATGTCCAGCACCTCTCCCTGTCCCTAACCCTCTCCATACCACATATTATTTGTACATGATGACTGTTGATGAAAAGATCATGAATTCTCTGCCAATATCACATTGATTATTTTAAGTCAAAAGTCTCCGAAAAAAAAGAGGTATAGTCTTCCCAACCTTGCTCTGATTTATGGGGATTTTCTCTGTTTTCATCTCCTGAAAAATGAAAAACAGCTATCAACTTTCACCTCTCATATACTTGTATTTGGGCTCACCACATTTCTGGGGCATACTTTTTTTCCTCACCATTGAAACAAAATTTAATATTGATCAAAAATTGATCAAAATCTTAGTAGATGTGATATTATCCCTGTTCCCTTCAAAATCCCAATTTTCTAATTCTACATTCTGAGTAAAAGCATAGTGGATTATTTCAAACAACTTTCTCCTTTATTCTAGGGGGGGAATTTGAAAAACAAATTCTTTCACTGATATTCTGCCCAAAACAAATGGTTACCTACTCACTCCGTTCTTATGAGCAGACACATAGGACAGCTGCTTTGGGTGCCAAGTGTATTCTTCTCTTGAATCTCCATCATTATTCAGGTTCATTTGTGTCCTCACTTGCCTGGTATTGAGGAATAAAAACATCTCAAGTGAGTATCTAATCAAGGATATTTATATCAATATACTAAATACGTAGAAGGTTAGTAGAAAACCAGAAACCATTTCCAATAAATTTTATATGTGAATATCACAAAAAAGAAATGGTCTTTTAAAAAAGGGAAGAGAGAAATAGGGCTAGCAGATTATCTTGTATTATTTGGGTGATCAGAAAATATTAACTAATGAATGATAGCAGTTTGTGAATCTGAAAGTTGGTGAGAAGCTGCATGTTAAAGTTGATTTACCTTTTCCGAACCGAACAACAGCAACAGAAAATTGACTGGATGGTATTATCTGAAAGACAGAACATTTTCAGCTGTTTAAAAAAAACCCACAACCCAACAACCAATAAGCAGATATTTGATGGATAAAACTTATTTCCATAGAGAAAGAACTCCCTAGGGGAATGACAGTAATTATGTCTAAGAAGTATATCTTTGAATGATATGCATACAACAAATGACGAAGCTTACACACTTTGTCATTTGTGGTAAGTAGGCCAGACAACTGCCCTAAGAAACTAAAGCCTAAGCTGGGAAAATTAGGTTGTACTATACCCTGGTTAATGTGGTTTCCCTTCTCAAGAACCCCACCCCCTCAATTTGGTTTATATATTTCCTTTAACTTGCTAATAGTGAATCCCCATTGCCTTCTGTTTTATTTAATCAACCAGTTCCAATATTAGAACAGAAGAAATATGGCAGCATTTAGGGCCCTAGAATTGGAGTTAGGAAGACTTGGATTCAAATCACTTTACTAGTTTACTCAGAAAAGGATGAGATTTCCTAACTCCAGGCCCAGCACTCTATCCACTGCCTCAGTTGAAAGCTTTGACCTGAGTTCAAATCTGACCTTAGACACTTACTAGCAGTGTGACCCAGGGCAAGTCACTTAACCTTGGTCTGTCTCAGTTTCTCACTTGTAAAATGAGGCTAATAATGTCATCTACTTCCCAGGATTGTTTGTGGGGATCAAATGAGATAATAATTGCAAAGCATTTAGCACAATGTCTGGCACACAGTAAGCATTCTATAAATATTAGCTAGTTATTATTATTATACTAATTCTTGACCAACATCTATGAATATCACTTGAGTAAAGATTTATCAAGGAATATTTAAAAGTCTCAGATAACTTGCTAAGGTTTTAAATTCCAAAGCAAGTACCATTCTCCCATGAAATCACAGGTTCAAGTTAAAAAAATAAATTAAGAGGACTCACAAAAAGGCCTTAAATAGCAAAGCCTCTTCAGCTGGTGTGGACATTGAAGAGAAGCTGAGGCAGGAATACCAATTCAATACATATTTAGGAAATCCTACTGCGTGGGGGCATTGTGCTAGGATCTCAGGTACATAAAAATAAAAATGAAATAGTCCCTGCCCTTAAGAAGATTACAAATCTAGGATGGAGAAGAAGAAATATAAATAGCCAACTAAGTAATAATAATAATAGTATTTATACAACACTTAAGGATTTGCCATGCACTTTATCATGTCATCAAATCCTCACAGTGACCCTGTAAGGTGGAGGTGATGTTCAGTGCTTCAATTGTGTCCAACTCTGCAGGACACCATAGGCCATTGCACACCAAGCGCTTCTGTCCTCCACTGTCTCCCAAAGTTTGTCCAGGTTCGTGTTTGTTGTTTCCACGACACTCATCCGTTCATCTCACCCTCTGCTGTTCACTTTTCTTTTTGCCCTCAATCTTTCCCAGCATAAGGGTCTTTTGCAATGAGTCTTGTCTTCTCATTATGTGGCCGACGTATTTAAACTTCAGCTTTGGTATTTGACCATCCAGTGAATAGTCTGAATTGATTTCTTTAAGTACTGACTGATTTGATGTCCTTGCTGTCCAACGGACTCTCAAAAGTCTTCTCCAGCAGCACAATCTGAAAGTGTCAATTCTTTGGTGCTCATCTTTCCTTATGGTCCAGCTCTCACAGCCATACATTGCTTCTGGGAAAAACACAGCTTTGATTATACAGACCTTTGTCAGCAAGGTGATGTGTCTGTTTTTTAGTATGCTATGCAGATTTGCTATAGCTTTCCTTCCAAGGAGCAAGCATCTTTTAATTTCCTGGCTTCAGGCACCGTCTGCAGTGATTTTTGAGCCCGAGAATATAAAATCTAACATTGCTTCCATTTCTTCTTCTATTTGCCAGGAAATAATGGGACCAGTTGACAAGATCTTAGTATTGTTTTTCTTTTTTAATGTTAAGCTTCAAGTCAGCTTTTATACTTTCCTTTTTCACCCTCATCAAGAGGCTTCTTAATTCTTCTTTTTTGTCTACCATCAGAGTAGCATAATCTGCATATCTGAGATTGTTGTTGTTTCTTTCTCCTGGCAACCTCAATTCTGGCTTTTGATTCATTCACCTGGCATTTCCTATGATGTACTCTGCATATAAGTTAAATAAATAAAGTGATAATATATAGCCTTATTCCATTCCTTTTCTGATCTTAATCCAATCAGTTGTTCCATGTTCAGTTCTAACTGTTGCTTCTTGGCCCACATAATGGCTCCTTGGGAGATGAGTAAGATGATTTAGTACTCCTTTCTCTTTGAGAACTTGCCACATTTTGTTGTGATTCCACACAATAAAGGCGGTACGGTAGATGCTATTATTATCCCCATTTTATGGATAGGAAACTGAGGTTAAAACAGACTAGGTGACTTTTGCAGGGTCACACAGCTAATGCAGGATTGGAACTCAGGTCTTCTTTGCTCCAAGGAAATAAATTAAAAGTATATACATTTCAAGAGGGAGAGAATGTTAAGTTGGGGAGGTGGAGAGAAGAAGGTTGACTCTTCAAGGAAGGCAGGAATTTCAAGGGGCAGAGGGGAGCTGGGAGTGCGTTCTAGACATAAGGAATGGCAAGAGATCCTATATTGTCTATTGAGAATAGCTAGCAGGGTAGTTTGACTTGAACAGAGAGTACATGAAGGCATGTAATATAAAATGAATGGCAAACAGATTGGGAAGGAACTATTCTTAATTTTTTTTGTTGTTGTTGTTGTTCAAGGTAGGGAAGTAGCCATTCCTCTCCCAGCCCATCAATTAACCAATAAACATTTATTAAGTGCCTCCTATGCACCAGATCAGCAACTGTTCTGAAAGTTATTGTTTTAGAGAGTTGCCTGAAGCTTTGAGCAATGAAATAACTTGCCCAGGGTCACACGACCAATATGTATTAGATGGAGGTCTTCCTGGCTCTAACACCCACAGTTACACCAACCTGCCTCTTTGTTGTTGTTATTCTTCAGTCTTTTTCAGTCGTGTCCTACTCTCCATGACCCCATTTGGGGTCTTCTTGACAAAGATACTGGAGTGGTTTGCCATTTCCTTCTCTAGCTCATTTTTCAGATGAGGAAACTGAGGCAAACAGGGTTAAGTGACTTGCCCAGGGTCACACAGCTAGTCAGTGAACTCAGGAAGATGAGTCTTCCTGACTCCAGGCCTGGCACTCATCTACTGCACCACTTAGCTGGGCTCAAGTTGCCTCTTATAATGTCTTAATACCCTCAAACATGCAGGATTCGAGACACAGGACATAATTTGAAAGTTGCATAGGGATTGGAGCAGAGACATGGGGAGAGTTCGGAAAGATAATTTGCCTAGGCTTACAAAATAATTGTATGGGGATGTACTTGGGGTGTGGGACATGTACTTGGGGCTGAAGAGGGAAGAATCTTAAAGGCTATATTTCACTGCTGACCACAATCAAAGTCTTGGCAAAGGATTTTGGGATGGGTAAGTGACGAAAAGGAGATGTGGTTAGGAGCTGGCAGTAGAATAAGAAACAAAGACGACTAGTGGGAATAGGCCGTCTTTAAACTCTCATAAGAAAAGAAGGGTTCAGAAGAGAGCGCTAAAATGTAACATCCTTGAGAGAAGGGCCAATCTCACTTTTATGTTCATGTTCCCTGTGCCTAGCAGGTAGCAGGCCTTTAATAAAATTCCTATTGACCAACTGACTCAGTGGTAATGGAAACTTCAGAAGACATTTCTAAGAGACTGCAGGTAAAGAAGGGGTTGGATAGAGGCAAGAAAGAAGGCGGAAGAGGTGGCTGGAGATCAGAAGTCTTTTGTAGACCAAAGAGGAAGAGATCGCCCTTGTTCTGAGCAATTAGCACGAAGGTCCATCCTGTGAGAAGTTTCCCTCAGATGTGTGAAGAGGTGTGGGCAGTTTATTATACCAGTGTTGATTTTGTACAAAAACAAACCATGGCCTTTGTGTGAACAGACACACACACACACACACACACACACACACACACACCACTTGAAGATGCATGACACAGTATAGACATGGCATGGAAAATATGACAGGACATCCCATTCAGACTTTTCAGTTAGGGGAGATCACCTGGGTGGTGTTTTCCACCTGTCACTAGCCAGCCATTCACAATGGCTCCTGATACCTGGAAGAATGTACTGTTTTTTTCTTGGGATTGAAAGCTAGAATTCTTGCCCTCCTCCTATGCCCACCAGCCACTTTCCTTATCACCCTAAACATGCTATCTTTCATCCTTTGATGATGACATTTTTCTCCAGGCTATTGGTGGTATCTGGACTTGTTTGGCCTTCCAAAAAAAGGTGTAGCCTCTCCCTCCCCTCAGAAAAGCATTCAAATCCTGATTTTAATCTCAGAGATGTCAGCTAGGGAGACCACAAGGCCATGTCTCACTATGGAAATGATAACCTATCTCCCCAAATCCTCTCCTCTTGCCAGGTGAAAAGTCATTGGGGTTCTCCAATTTTTTTTCTAGGCAATCTGCAAATAAATATTTATCCAGTGCAAACCATAGTACATAAAGTCCATAGTGTTAATAACACTTCCTCCTTATTTTTGCCTCTGAGGATCTTCAACTTCCTTCTAAAGTGCTCTCAAACATCTTCCTTCTAAAGTCATCTCAAGTGTTGCCTCTTACCTACTCTCATCTACTTCTTACTTTACCTATGAGGCCTTTGCTGATTCCCATGAGGTATTCATAGCCCTCCCCACCAAATTATCTTGTCTATATTTTGTATTTACTTCAATATGCATACGGAGTTTACCCAGCAGAAGGTAAGTTCTGTCTCTGTATTCCCAGCAGCTAGCAAAGACCTAGCCCCTAACAGGTGTTCAATAAATATGTACTAAAATCAACAGTGGTGGTAGTCGGTTGGGGCGCTCTCTCTCTCAGAAGGGAATTCAGGGAGAGCCAGAGGACTTCATAATTCACATACAGTAAATCTAGAACAATAAGTGTGACAAATCAATTAATCAGTCAGCAATTACTTCTGTACTCT